CTGTGGTGCTGGAGAAGAGTATTGAGGGTACCATGGACTGCCAAGAAAACAAACAGATTTATCCTGGAAAGGGTTAAACCAGGCGGCTCCTTTGAGACAAGTACTCTGGGGCTTCGTCTAACATACTTTGGACTTGTTGTAAGGAGCGACTGGTCCTTGGAGAGGGACATCATGCTTGGGAGGATTGAGGGACATGCAGGAGGGGAAGGCCCTCTATGAGGTGGATTGATTCAGTGACTGGGGTAATTGGGGTAGGAGTGTCAGAGACAGTGCGATTGGCACAGGACAGATCAGGGTTTAGGGCTGTTATACATAGGGTCGCTATGAGTCGCAAGTGACTCGACGGTACTTAACAACAACAACCACCTCAAATATGGATTCTGGATTCTCTTGAAAGAAATGCTAAAGCTCGTGATGTGAGGCAGAGTTCCTGCTTCGTGACTATCTACAGGGCTGAGGAATGACCGCCTGCTGGAGGTGGCCCACTCTCGGTGCCATGGCCCTGCCTCCCTCGCTTATTTCACTTTGAATTTATGGCCCCACAAATGGAAAGACCATCTAATCCCCCTTGGGTTCCCCCTCCCCTCCCCCAAACGACAGTGCTACAAGAAATTGCTTCTTGCAAATCGCCTTATGATATTTAAATCTTATCCAGTTAAACAGAAGAAAAAGAAGAAAAGAACAGATTTCAAATCAATACAGCTCTTCACACATGGCAGCTTGGCTGTTTCAGCTGGAGGCCTGATCTCACTGCAGGGACTGATAAAAATGAAGAGCGCGCTGTCTCTGCTGCGTTGCACTGATAAGAGCAAACTCAGAGTGAAAGGAAATCTGTTGCCTCCAGGTCGCTCGAGTGGAAGGCGGCCTGTCCCCGAAGCCCTCGGGAGACGAGGCAAACCCAGGGTCGTGAGAGGACAGCGGTGCCGAAGAGCTGCTTGGAGGAGGGGAGGCCGACCGGAAACTGCCTTACATCCGCCTCAGCTCTCAGAAGGCAGACTTGCTGAGAGGCAGAGGCACTTTGCCTTCTCAGCTACAGTATCTGTCACCCAGGCTCTGGAGTTGAAGAGCAAAGAGCCTCACAGTTGGAAGGAGGTGTTGAGTCTAAGTTTCTAAATTTGCCTCCTCGTTGTGGAAGTGAGGGTCCTGAGGCGTCCACCCTTTCCTCCAGACACTTGACCTCTCTTCAGCTAAGCAGTTCAGAGTTCCTCGTGTTATTAACGAGCCCCAAATGGACCTGATTTACCCAGGAACCCTTGTGATGGCGGTGGCTGTCCATGTAGGGTAGGCGTTCCTGCTCTGAGCTCTGGGCAGGGCCTCACAGCCGTCCACAGCCCGCGGATCTACCCCAGCCCTGCTTGGCTCTGGTGGTGACTTTCCATCTCTGTTGTTTTTACATGTGTCACTCTCCCCTGAAAAGAGGCCTGGAATGACCCAGAGTCAGCTTTGTTTATATACCGCATTCCTCCTAGAACAGCACCAAAAATGGCACCGTGGACCAGCGCTCTCATCCCCCATTCCCGGCTCAGGCTGCGGGTGCCCATCGTGTCGTAGGGGTCACTTCAGGTGAAGTACAGTGAGGGGGAAACGCAGAGGAGTTCAGTGACATCTGTGCCGGGTGGGAAAGGACAGAGACCCTCTGGCTCTTCATTTCTTTCCTGCTTTTTGGAGTTACCTTCAGAATCGAGAGAGAATCCTCTTAGCTGGGGCCTTTGCAAGGACCCTGCTCAGCCTTTCTCAGGCACCAGCAGGTGGAGAGTCTGAGTTCTTGCAGCCCAAGAACCCAGACCTGAATCTTGTTCACTCAGTCACCCCACAGTTATACTTGGTGGTGTGCTCTTGTCTTCTGCACCCCACACTCTTTCAGGACCTACAGTTCTTTTTGTTGGCAGAGGGGCTTGCTTCCTTGAAGCCACAGGGGTGTGCATAGAAATGAGGTTCAGGCACTGAGTTTTCTGGGGAGCAGCAGGCCCACTCTGCTGGCCTCCAGGGGCCGGGAATCCTCATGTGCGGATTCTGCTGTGGGTTAGGATAGCATGTTAGGACACCATGCCCCAGCTGCTCTCGCTGTCTGATTATTCACGGGCCAGCGGCTGGGATTCCTCATGCTGTGTGTTAGGACAGCATGCTAGAACACCACGCCTGAGCTGTTCTTGCTGTCTATTTGATTATTAACGGGCCAGGGGCTGTTGTAGTTGATAAGTCACACGTTCTGCTTGAAGGTACACTACAAACGGTTTCTAGTTTCAGACTTGACCTTAGAAGCTCAAGAAGAACATCCTACCCCTCAACCTATGTGATCTGACGTCCATGGTTCTGGTCCTTTATGTCCTGTAGTATTTCTACTGGTTGAGAGTCACATTTCGGAAAAGAAAAAGTTGTCTGTAGTAGGCAGCCTCTTCCTGCTCGTCTTTTCAGCCTTCATGGATGGGACTGGTCTCTCTCTCCATTGCTCCTTGTTCCTAGGGAGGGTGCCCATCCTTGGCCATTTCCAGGAACTTCCAGCCAGAGCCCTGTCCCTGGAGCACAAGTGTCTGGCTGGGCTGGAGCTGGGGCAGAGGGACTTCATCAGTGGGTCGTGCCTCAGGAGGCAAACCTTCATTACACACCTCATGTGAACCCCTTTGTGACTGGGCACAGCCCCGGGGCACTAATGGTCTGCTGTCTGCTTTGTGGGTCCCTGGCACTCTTCTCCTTTAACCCACAGCCTGAGGAGCACAACACTTACTGGAAGGTGTGGAACAGGATCCTTTGACTGGTTCTTTGTGTTTATCCCCTGCCTGTCACTTTGTTGTGCCATGGTGATTTGCGTGTTTCTGTTATTTTGGAGGTCCTGTCACTGGCTATTTAAAATAACATCAGGTCTGCCCACAGTGGACAGGTATTAGCAGAGCTTCATCCTAAAACAGATGAGGGAGAAAAGTCTAATATTTGTACTTCCAAATACTAGCCATTAAAAACCTGTGGACCACAACAGAATGTTGCCTGATCAGATGCTCCGAGGTGAGCTCCCTGTGTTGGAAGCCACTCAAAATGCAGTCACTGAAATCAGGCACCCGAGTGTATATCTAGGATTGTGAAGCTATTTCATGGCAGGGCAGTGATATGTTGAAGCCTGACTTATTTAACACTCCCTCACTTTGATGTTTTCTCCTCTTCTGCAGCACCTATCCCTGAAAGCCAAAAGGGCCAAAGTCCAGGACTTGTGAACAGAGCTTGACTGCAGTGAGCAAGCTGCAGACTCTGTGCTTGGTGTCCTCTCCTCCACATCGCTGCCCTCCTGGCCCCAGGAAGAGGGTGAGCTGGAACCTTCAGCAACTCTGAGGTGGCTGCAGCGCACCCTTTACGCCCATCCTCCCACCCTCCCCAGCATTGCCTTCCTCACCGGGATCCTGGATGAGTTTCTGCCTAGGTGGGCACTGTGCTGGTGCCATGGTGGGCATCAGGGGTCACTGCACCAGGTAGGCAGCAGGCGGCAGACCACGCATCTCGGCTCACTCAGCACACTTCCAGCCCGGCATGCACTTGCAGCAAGTTCTCAGCCCTGGCCCAGCTGGACGAGGAGCAAGGAGAAACCCTAGTCGTCCAAGGCTGAAGGGGCATGTAGGAGGGGTCACAGGCCCTGCCTGGACCACAGCTGTGAACACACCTGGACCAAGGAGATGTAAGAACTTGAGCACTGGGGACTTGTGACCAAATCACTGAGCGGTGTGTCTGGTGGCACCCAGCCCCACAAACCCAAGTCCCTTCTGGTGTAGTACCATCCACAACCCTATTTCTCTGGGACCAGGAGACTTGTTAAGAGATTAACAGTGGACCAGGGAGATGCGTGCACTGCTCTGTATTAACACCGGATTTCTCTTTCCTTCCTGGGCTTCGCTTCCTCTCAGAGTGTGGTAGATGCTGTCGCCAGCAGCGGAGACCTAGTAAGAGCTCAGCGCGCGCTCCATGGGGTCCAGTTCACCTGAATGCCCAGCTGTGTGGGTGGCCTCAGCTGCTGTACCTCAGGAACGTAACTACTGCAGCTTTGTTTTGGGTCTGTGTTCTTTTTCTCGCTTGCATTCTCACAAGAACACATGGCTGGCAGGTCCAGCAGGCACTGGGTTCCCTCCTGCCCCCCTGAGCTGCTTGGCTGTCGAGGTGTTTGCCATTCACACAGTGACTGAAACACCCCGTCCCCACCCTGATGGTCTCAGTGAAGCTTATTTTAAAAGACACGTAGCTTGAAAATTTATTTTTGTACGAATATTAGTAGTTTGGACATGCCACTTTGGGCACCAAACATGTATGTAATTTTTATTTCCATTTTGTAAAAAGGTAAATAATAGTGATACCTTATTAATAATAGTACGAATTTATACCTGAAGTAAATCCATCTCCTCCCATCCATGGTTTCTGCCGTCTGTGTTGTAAGATGCTATTCCGCGGAGTTGAGGGTCTCTCAGTAGCTATGAAACGTGTGCTGTGTTGGGGCATGTGGACTTGGAAAGCTCTAGAAAGGAAGCTTGTGTGAATATCTATGAGACCTTTTAGCCAATCACAGAGAGTTGTTTAAATGAAGTCTCAATGAGGAGCCAATTCTTGTGAGTTCATTGAGGTCTTTCTATAGAGAAGTCCACTAACTTAGTGTTTTTGAATCTGAATTTAAGGCTAGGTCTGATCTTAATACACCTGTGTTGGGATCAAAAGGGGGAACCTGTAAGGACCCACACTCCCTGGTGTTTGAGACCAAGATTCACCAGTCAAGCGAGAGCTCTCCTGTCTGCGCTGTGCCACTGTCTCTCCAAGGACTGCCCACACCTTGACGGGCTTCTGGACTTGGGACACTGGTCGTGTGGCCTCCTTTGTGAAGGTGTGACTCCTCATTGTCAGAGTCTCGCCAAGGGCCCTTTCAGATCTGCCCTGGGACCCTAGCGTTCCTCTGGGCTGGTGCCCCGTGGTTCCCTGCCCAGCTGGAGCCCATGGCAGGCCCTGTGCAGCGGCCGGCTCCACCCTCAGCCCAGACATGCCCAGCAGGGCCTGGTGGCCTGGCAGCTCTCCAGCCTTTGTGCCCACAGTAATTACGTCTCTAGGGATGTGCTGCCTTGGGCTTTACACAGTTGTTCACGTATTGTTGGTTAAACTTCCCACTGCATCGCACTGTCTTCCTACCAGGAGCTTGGTGAGGGGTGGGGATGCGGATGAGTTTGTGCTGGGAAACTCTGGAAACGGGATTGTTACTGTAGGCTTGGAGAGTGGGGCCCCCAAATCTCTGGGTTACAGAGACCCTGATGATTCTCTAGCAGCTGGCCTCTCTGGGGGAGCAGAACACTGCAGTGACCGTGAGACCCCGATGGGACCACATACACCACAAGGCTAAGGGACATCACGTCCTTTGGCTCTGCCTAAGCACAGAAACATCTGGATAGTTCAGTGTCCCCCAGCTGTGCCCAACGTAGCACTTCTGGGATTCGCTGGGGAATGCAAGGGCAGAGGGGCCACTGAGGCCACTGTGCCTCCCAGACTTGCTGTGACTGCTGAGCTAGTCCCCAGAGTGCCGGCTGTTCGTGAAATTTTTTAGTTGCCTATGTCCAGAGACAAAGGAGGTAAATCCAGACAGCTCGCTGGAGAGGAGGAACATGCTGGATCTGGTCTTCGGGTGAAGTAAGTGATTCGGGGCCTGAGAGCTGCTAATTCAAGTCCCTCCATTTATAAAAGACTGGTGGTCACCAGCGTCTCCAAAGTCCAGCTGACGCTGAGGTGTTAGGTGGTTTAGAGACATTTTCCCTGAGCAGTGATGCTCGCTGCTGATGCGGCCTTCTGGCCCCGTGGACCCCACAGCCAGTGGTTCTCAGGCCCGAAGATTGCAGCAACTGCTTTTTATTGATGTGGTTATGATTTGATTTGGATCCCCCCATTTATTACTAGTTTTATATTGGGAGATTGGTATGGATGACATTTTCCTGAGGAAAACATCAAACAAAGGAACAAACAACCCTCTAATACTACCATTTCCTCAAAAGGTGTGTGAGGTAGGATGACATTTTTCTGAGGAAGACAAAAAAAAGCAAACAAACAACCCTCTAATATTACCATCGTTTCCTCAAAAGGTATGTTAGCACTCCAAAAGAACTCAGACTTTGTGTGTTTTGTGCAAAGGTAAGTTTTAAGAATTAATTTCAGGGGGAGCTCTGGTGGCCTAGTGGCAGGAAGCTGCAACTACAGTCCCGGAGGTTCACGGTTTGAATCCACCAGATGCTTTGCCAGGGAAGGAGGGGCAATCTCCTCCTGTACCAGTCAGATCTGATTTGACGGTGCACACACACAAAAAAACAATAAAATAAGAAATAAAAAAAAAAATTAAAAAAAAAAAAGAATTAATTTCAGGATCTGTGATGGACAGGAGCACTGAGCCCCAGGCTGGCTGAGTTGGTGAGAAATACAGCCTCGTCCCCTGCCATCTGCCTCTACAAGTGTGGGCAGAGAGGGGGGCTCTTCATGCCCAGCTGATGTGCCAGCCTGAAGAGCCACGTGGCACTTGTCATCAGATGACCCAGAAATCCAGCCGTGGGCGTGTATCCCAATATGGACCCCACTCAGGGTGACGGTGGTGGTGAAGCGCCCTCAATTCAACTCTACGAACAACAGACCTGAGCCCTGTCCGATCCTGTGCCGTCCTCACGTCCTGACGTGGTCCACCACACGCTGGAACCCATCTGTATAGTCACTCTGTTGATCCATCTTGTCGAGGGTCTTCCTGTCTGTCACTGACCCTCCTCTTTTCCAAGCATGACGTCCTTTCCCGAGGACTGGCCCCTTCCTGACAGTGTGCCCAAAGTACAGGAGGTGAAGTTTCATCATCCTTGCCTCCAAGGTTAGTGCAATTCTGGTTGCACTCCCTCCGAGACAGACTGTGGGATCTTCAGCACTCTTCTCCAACACCACAGTTCAGAGGCTTCCATTCTTCTGCCATCCTGGGTTGGTGCCCAACTTCCAGGTGCACAGGAGGAAAAGACGGCACTGAAGGCATGGACAAAAAAATACAGCGCCAGGAATTGGTGGAATACCTGTCGACTTGGTTCAACAAACAGATGCAGGACGGTAGGAGAGAAGCATAAAGAAACCCTCTTGGTGTGATGGTATCAGATGCCTAGCACTGGGTGTGTGTGTAGGATTTAGTGTGTGGTACCATTGTGTCCTACAGATCAACTTCACAGAACACATCACAGACAACATGGCCCTAAAAACAGTGGAATAAAAAAGTCAACAGGATGGCAACATTCTCAGAAATGAAAAGCACATGCAATATATTAAAAAAACAGGAAACAGCAGCGAGCTGCTTAAAGAAGAGAGCTGCCTGTAAGTTAAGATGAGAGTTAGGAGCGAGGATGAGGAGAAGGAGGAGACTCAGGAGGCCTGCGCTTCACGACATTTATCTTCTTCTTTCCAGATTTTGGACATGTTTGCCTTGACCTTGGGGAAGAAGGAGTTATATGGGATTGACCACATCTGTGCTTGATTTTCTCAGACACAACTTTGTTTGCTGGCCATGACGAGGAGTAGGGAGACTCACTGATGATCATAAAATAGCATGGTCTCACATCCAGAAAACTCACAATCAGACCAATTGGCAACATCGTGATAAATGGAGAAAAGATTAGAGCTGTCAAGGATGTCCTTGGCCTTGGACACACAACACCATCATGGAAGCAACAGTCAAGAAATCGAAAGACGTGTTGTATTCATTGGACAAATCTGCCAAGAAGCTTTTTAAAGTGGCTAACGTGGAAGGATAGAACCGTAAAGACTAAGGGTGTACCTGATTCAAGCCTGCTTCATAAACTATGAAAGGTGTACAATGAATAAGACAGACTGGAGGATTGATGCCTTTAAATTGTTTTGGTGAAGAATATGGGATATATTAAGTTGCTGTTTGCCATCAAGTTGAAACTAACCCAGCTGACCCACCAGCGAGTTTTCAGAGACAGCAAATCACACAGGAAAAGGTTGCCTATCCTCCCGCAGAGCGTTTGGTAGATTTGAACACATGCCTTTGCAGTTGCAATGCAGATTCTTACCACTAGGCCACTAGGGCACGCACCATCAAGAGAATGAAGAAATCGGTGCTGGAATATGTTCAGTCAAGGTGCACCTTGGAAGCAAGGATGGTGAGCCTTCATCGCCCATACTCTGGGCATGCTGTCAGGAGGGACCAGTCCTTGGGAAAAAG